CAGAGGATACAGTTCAAGAATCTGGTCCTCACCTTCAAAGCCCTCCATGGCCTTGCTCCTCCCTACCTCTGTGACCTTCTAACCCCTTACCAACCTGTCCGTTTCTTCTGCTCAGTGGGCTCTGACCTAATTCACATCCCCTGCCTTGCCCGCACCACCATTGGCAGTCGGGCCTTCAGTCTCTCTGCCCCCACCTCTGGAACTTCATCTCACAGTCCCTCTGCCTTGCCCCCTCCCTTGCCTCCTTCAAAACCTGTCCCAAGACCCTCCTCTTTAACTGTACCTTCAGTCACCCTCCTACTCCTACCCCCCCCACTGCCCTCCACCCCTTCTGATCCCAACCATCAGCTCAGGTGCAGATCCATGATTGCCCAGCTCTTTGGAAAGTCCTCTTGATGTGAAAGGCGCTATATAATGTAATTTGTTGTTGTTGTTGAGATGTCTAGAAGATGTGATAAGGCACTATATCAAATGCAAGAATTATACATATATTATATAAATTCTTCACCTTTAAAAAACTTTTCTGACTGAAGTGATCCTCCATTTAATTCAGTGACACCAGTTTCATGACATCCATTACTAAGAAGTGAGTTACTAAGAAGGCTCTGCTGAGCCTTTCCTCTTAAAAAGCCTGATATCATTCTGATATTCGGACTATATTAGCAATTTTTGCCGCTATGCTTTTTGTTTCTATCAGATGATTACTGGTGCAGAAATTAAACTTTTCAAACAGCCGACTGTCAGTGAGGTCAGGCTTCAAGCAGGAAAGCTCAGCAGGTTCCTTCCCCACAAGTTGGTTGCATTGAGTACCATTTCTAAGCTCAGGGCAAATTTCATACCTCTGGGAACAGTGCAACATCAGAAAATGGCGTACGCAGCTGTCATGAATTATCAGTCACTTGGAAACTTTTCATGACATTCAAAGAAAATCAAAACCAGGAGTTGGCAACAACAGGATACAGAGGATGAACTGAATCAAATTTAGCTGCTGCAGTTGCCTCCATTGCTGCATTCACTTCATTTCTAATTAATCTCATTCCGTAGTATGCTTCAAGACATTTATTTTAGGTGAAAGGCGCCAATCACTCACAAAATACACAGTCAATCCCCTTTACAGTATATCCTATGAAACGCTTTGCAATGTCTCACTGTGTAATAAGGCGCTCTATCAAATCCAAGGATTATATATGTTAGTTGTTGTAATCTATCAAAAATGGTGAATAGGAAGGAGTACTTACAGGAACCTGAAATCTCCAATTGACCAACTAACAGGCAAGATTGTTGCAAAAAATGGAACAGAACAGATATAATAATAAATAATATTTACGTTTGATATAGCGCCTTGCAAGTCAGGAGGGCATCTCAAAGCAGTTCACAAGATATACTGTGATATAAAGTGGAATGAAAGCATATTTTGTGAAGAATCTATTTGAAGTAGATCCTATACATAACTGAATGGGACAGTCACTGAATGCATATGATCAAAATTCCTTCAAGTGTTCCTCGGTGACTTTCGCTTTCAAGATATTCATAGATTCATAGAATGTTATGGCACAGAAGGAGGCCATTCGGCCCATCGAGTCTGTGCCGGCTCTTTGACAGAGCAAGTCACTTTCACTAACCCCAATCACCAGCTTTCTCCCCATAACCCTGCAAACCCGTCTTCCCCAGATATCTATCCAGTTCTCTCTTAAAAGCTGTTATCGAATCGGACTTCACTACCCTTTCAGGCAGATCATTCCAAATTCGAACAACTCGCTGAGTGAAAAAAATTCTTCTAACCTCCCCTCTGCTTCTTTTGGTAGATATCTTAAGACTGTGACCACGGGTCACAGACACACCTACCAGCGGAAACAGCTTTTCCTTATCGAGCCTGTCGAAACCTTTCATGATCTTGAAGACCTCTATCAGGTCCCCACGTAATCTTCTCTGCTCTAATGGGAAAAGTCCTAACTTCTCCAGCCTGTCCTCATAGCTAAGGTTCCCCATTCCTGGTATCATTCTCGTGAATCTCCTCTGCACCCTTTCCAGTGCCTTAATGTCCTTCCTGAAGTAAGGTGCCCAGAACTGGACGCAGTACTCCAGCTGAGGCCTAACCAGTGTTTTGTATAGATTAACCATAACCTCCCTACTCTTATACTCTATGCCCCTACTAATAAAGCTCAGTACACCAAATGCCTTTTTTACTGCCTTATCTACCTGCCCCGCTACCTTTAATGATTCGCTTACTTGAACACCCAGATCTCTCTGTACGTTCACCCCCCTTAAGATTGAGCTACCAAGTCTATATTGCCTCCTATCATTTTTCCTACCTAAGTGTATCACCTCACACTTATCCACATTGAAATCCATCTGCCACATGTCAGCCCATTCCACCATTCTGTGTATGTCTGCTTGCAGTTGGTTACAGTCCTCCTCACTATTTACTACCCTACCTAACTTTGTATCATCTGCAAACTTGGAAATAGTGCTCTCTATGCCCAAGTCCAGATCATTAATATATATTAGAAAGAGCAGTGGTCCCAATACCGATCCCTGGGGGACACCGCTGCACACCTCCTTCCATTTCAAGAAACCCCCATTAACCACCACCCTCTGCTTTCTGTCACTCAGCCAGTTCTTAATCCAAACTGCCACTGTCCCCTTAATACTGTGGGCCTCTAATTTTTGTATTAATCTCTTATGCGGTACTGTGTCAAAAGCCTTTTTGAAATCCATGTAAATAACGTCCACCGCATTTCCCTCATCAACCCTCGCAGTCACCTCTTCAAAAAATTCTATTAGATTTGTTAGGCAAGATTTGCCTTTAACAAATCCATGTTGGCTGTCTCTAATTACCTTATGTTCCTCTAAGTAGAGATTTATTCTGTCCCGGATTATGGTCTCCAGTAGTTTTCCTATTACTGAAGTTAGACTGACTGGCCTGTAATTTCCGGGTTTGTCTTTCTGCCCCTTTTTGTAGAGGGGGGTAACATTAGCCACTCTCCAGTCTCTTAACACCACTCCTGTGCCCAATGAAGATTGAAATATAATGGCCAAAGCCTCCGCTATTTGAACCCATATCTCCCACAGCAACCTTGGGTGAAACCCATCTGGTCCTGGTGACTCATCAATTTTGAGCCCAGTCAATCTTTTCAGAACTTCCTCTCTGTCTATAGTAATCTGTATATATTTTAAAATTCTGGCATTTGATATAGCTCCCTTTCATATCATCAAGACACTTCAAAATCCTTCACAGGATTTGCTGTGAAGTGGCGTGACTGTGTATTTGTTGGCAAATGCAGCAGTCAATTTCCGCACAGCAAAGTTCCACAATCAGCCATGAATTGTATGATTAATTGTATCTGACGGATTTTTGGAAGAAACTCCCGTAAATAAAATGTCAAATAATCTGGATCTATTTGGAGACTGATGATTAAAAAAGCAATAAGTGGCTTCAACTAATGACATTCAGTTAAATAAAGTATGTAATGATGAATGAAACTACCTGTTAGAAAGTATACAATAGAATTCTCTTTATAGGAACAACCACACGGCAGGCAAAAATCTTCTCGCACTCATTAATTTTATTGAGGACACACTATGTAATTGATACCTGAGCAAATATTCCTTTATATGTATACCAGCCTTAAAAAGGGCATCCACTGACATGTTTCAATTATGACTCCAATTCTCAGTTCTACTAAGGATGCTTAAATATTGACTGGACAAGGCAGCCAGCATTATACTGTGTGAATACAAGGTCTAGACAATGCTAATAGCACCAAGAATATGAATCTGTTAGGAGGCAGGGGTGGAACTGCTTACAGCAGTAATGGGGAACTTCCAATTTGGCAGAAAAACTAAGTCCTTCAATTATATGGACAAAGCTTTTTTTATGTTTATTGATGTGTTTGGTTTGTGATAGAAGTTTTTACATTTTTCATTTAGGAAGGATTTTTAAGCAACTGAATTGTAGAGCAATGCAACTTTAGTAAGAAATCTAAAGATACAGAAATACAGTTATTCTGTTGGCAACAATTAATTTTTAAAGAATGATGTCCTACAGTGGCTGAACCTTGAAGGCCCTGCTGAAAATAAAAAACAGCCGTATGTGTGGATATAAAATATACATAGACATATATATAATAACCAACACAACAAAAGTTTACCATGAGGTAACTCATCTCCTATCTATAAGCCTTCATGTATATCATACATCTGACACATGACCTACTTCACCTCACATGTTTCCAGAAGTCTCATCCTCCTCAATTTTTAACAATGAACAAATAGAGCGCTAAGTCTTATGGCTAGTTAAGACGCATCGTATTTCTGTATACAGCAGCAACTATGATAGCCCTGATTAAGAATCCAGAAACCTTGTGCTAGAAGTTAAAAAAACATTTTTCACACAAGCTCAAGTTGAAGGCCATTTAGAGGCATCATGAATTGAAGAGGAGTGAGGACAGTGGGACTAGACGAACACCTTGCTCTCAAAGCCAGAGCAGACTTTATGGGCCAATTTGCCTCATTCTGTGCTGTAAAATTCTATGATTTTTTCTTTACATTTATATAACAGGAGCATGTTTCTTGATATTTCTACAGTTTTGAATACAGTGCTAAGTTTGTTCCAGAAACAGATTATCTTTTCAGTTGTGTGCCGCATCTCTTAATAAAGTGTTTAATTTGATCATGTTTCTGGAATTCTTTTATACTTAAGGCTATAGAAGAGGTAATGGCCTCCATTTATTCCGTGTTAGTAGAGCAATTCTTCTGAATGAAGAAAACATACTGTATTTAAAAAAAACTATGTCAGTAATCATGAGTAAACCTGAATGTTTCATATGTTTTCCGAACTATGAGAGGGAAAAAACAGAACTACGCTGACAAATTCATTGTAGAATGGAGTTCATAATTCATTCACTTAGTTACAAAGTTGGCAACTTAAATATGTTGTACACAAAGCAACCTACAAATAACTTTAAACAAATTATAAATTGTTTGTCATTTATTCTCACCTCTCCCTCGGAACATGCCTCTGATTCATGACCTGGAAGACTTGGAAGGCACTGAGAGTCCTCAAAAAAGTTGTTTTTTGTTTTTCTAGACGTCAAATGAACTTTTACCATATATCCCTCATTGGGCCCCTAGAATAAATAAAATTGATGTAATTGTAATCAAATGCGTGGGACTGTTGCAAAGATTACAAGACAGATTCAGATAAAGAAGGTTCTTCAGCCTTTGATCTAAACCTTCCCGAATACCCATCCGACTCTCTTCCCATCAAAACATCAAGCTACAACTTACAGTCTATCACCATCATTTTTGATTTATTCACAGTTGAATACAGTTACACAGCAGGTTACTAAGACATTTTATGCAGTACAACTCAAGCCTCTTGAAGAAAACTACAGGTTCCAATCAATGTATTTAATACACAAAGCACCTAACCAATATCTACTTACCAGATTGAATCTTATGATTTCCCTCAAGAGGATGAACAAGTTGAAAACTAGAGGTTTTCCACTGATGTTTATACTTTGGTCACCAAATAGTGGGATTGAAAAATCACTCAAGCAGAAAACTTCAGTGGAAACGGCATCTCTTACAGAGAAAGCTTGTCAGGATGTAAACAACAACAACTTACATTTATATAGCGTTCTTCATATTGGATAGTGTTTCAGAGTAAAGTATCTCTCCTGCAGGGAGTGCTGTGCAGATATGCTGATTCATGAGAACCCCTGGTCTAACCTGAGATTATCTTGAAGCAGAAATTATACATACATTTCCCTGCTGGAGAGATGCATTTCACATTTCACAACCTGAAGCCTCTTTGTGTGCATAAATTGGCTGCTGTGTTCATGTACAAATAAATAGTCACCAGACTTTACATTGAAATCCTGCAAAGTACTTTGAAAAAGTTTGACGATATAAGGCAGATAGATGATAAATGTGTCACTAAATCAAATGCAAGAATTATTGTTGTTATTATGTCCAAAGGGCCATGCGATTAACATCCAAAATAATATTTCTGCAGCCTGTTTATATCTCAAAGCAGAAGCACAACAAGCAGCTGTGTCTTTCACTCAATGCTCTTAGCAATGCTTTGTAAGTGTAACAGTGTAATCGGATTGCCTGGCATAGGAATATTAAATGAAATGGTTCTCCTCATTTTTAAATCCATAAACACACAAGAGTACAGTACACAACAGACATTAAATCTCTGTGCCAAAATCAGCATCCCTATAAACAAATCATACTTTACATTTTAACAAAAAAAACAAGAGTTTTGCATTAACAAGAAACATATGCAAAATGGATCTGCAAAACAAGAGGCCAATACAAAAGCAAGAAGAATCAAAGAGTTACACAAAATTTGCTGAACTTTAACATTCATTTATTTTGTTGTGTCCCGTTGGTCGTATGTCAGTTTCATGAATACTATTCTTTAAACGACATCAGGTGTACTACAACAATGACAACATTTACAATTTATATAGCACCCTTCACCTGGGGTAGCATCTCAGAGCACTGAACAATGGCACAGTTTGACCTAATGTAAAACTGTCACTTGGATCAACAGAAGGCCCTGAAGAATCCTTGGTTCAATGGTTATATAATTCAACCACTGTACTTCACATCTTTGGATTGTTACCTATTTCAGACCAATCGCCCAATGTTACCAATGGGACTCACAATTCATTCAAACAAACAAGGCAAAAATAGCTGAAGCAAATCAAAACTGATGTAAATATTAATAGGCATTGCAACCGTTTCATTTTTAAAAAGAGTCCCGATGACACGTCTCACTCTTTAAATGCTCATTGACTAAGCCCTAAGGCTTCAATTAAACATTATTATTGGAGCCTGTTGGAATGGATTTTAACTGCTACTCATGAGCTAGAATTTCGAGGTTTGAGAGCCCTCAAGCAGAGTTTTGATTCTGACAGTTCAGGGAAGTGGTTTCAGGTGTGCTCTTGAGCAGCTGCCAGTCAGGTTAAGGAAGGTGGTATTCTTTGTTCTCTGGCTGAACAGGATTATGTGTATCCTCCCCGAGGATGTAGCCAACCATTACCGAGTTAGCAATTTAGTATGTGGGGCCCATCGTGGAAGCCTATCAACCCAAGATCAAAAGATCAGGACTAAACAAAAGGATGTTAAAGTTCAGCATACTTTTTGTAACTTTGTGAATTTTCTTGTACACTTTTGATCCCCTGTTGTTTTGGAGAGCCACTATATCTATTTTCTTGTAGATGTTTTCTTTTAATACAATAGCGATGGAATAAACAGAATGTATCGGTGCAGAGAATAGAGGTAAATTGTCATTTGGTATTTTTAAAGATTTTTGTGCATGTTTAGCAATCTGAATTACAAAAGAACATAATTAGAGAATGCGATTTCACTGGTGGACTTAAAAGTACTACAGAGCAGTGAAAGATACTGTAAGTTATTAAAAGTAAAAGTTTCAACCAGATATAACCGTATTATATCTTTGCAATTTATTAACACCACAAATGTTATTAAAAGCAAAATCTCTCGATTTCTGAACCAGAGTAAATCTTGAAAATATAATCAGATTCAGAAGAAATTGGATCTTTTGGGTAGCTAGCCAAATAGCTGGCAGATGTCATTCAACCTGGATACATGTAAAATATTTAACATATGAGTAGGGAACCAAAATCAGGAGTATTTCATGAATCAGTCTATGGATCACAAAAGTGATCAGAAGTTACTGTGGATGAACTGTCAATGGTTTTCAGCAGTAAAAAAGCAAATATTTTTACTCATAAGACATAGAGCATACTAACCAAAAGACTAAATTTTTTGCTTTATTTCCTCAGACCTCTACCAAATAGTTTTAGTCAATTATTCATGTATTATCATTCTTGAGAGGACACAGAGTAGAGCAACCAAGATGATGCCAGGTCTCAGGAATCTAGGTTACAAGAAATAAATGTTAAGTAAATTGGACATATTTTCTTTGGAAAAGAAGAGACTGAGAGATAACCTGATGGATAATGAAGACATTTGTGAAAGGTAAATTGTTCAATATAGTTAAGTTTTCAAACACCACAGGCTAAAAATTGAGACGTTCCTAATCTCGGCTGTAACATGAAAGCGAATCATTGAGCAGAGGCTAAAGCCTTTCCTCTAGGAGGGCACGGGAGAGAAGAGAAATCACAAATACAAGATAAAGTCACTCCCGACTGATTGCCTCGTACCCTCTGGCAACCAACCTGAAACATCTAAATCATTTAGTTAACAAACTGAATGCAAGACATTGGAAAAGAAGGGAAAAACAAAATTTATATATATTTAAAGGCTTCAAATTATAGGACTCCTTCAATTTAGCTGAAATAGTGAATGTTTGTATACCTGTTTCCTCCATTGCCAACCATCATTGATCTCCTCTGAATGTTTGATAAACAAGTCACAGAACTGCAGAAATTGCTTTTCACCGAGGCAAATATCCTCACTTTGACTGAAGTTATTTGACATCTGCAAGTACTAAAAATACAGAAATAGTAAACCCTTCATTAGTACCTTTACATTGAACCCAAATGAGAATAACTTATAAAATAACCACATTTTGAATGCTAACTATCTTTCTTAGATTTTAATGCACATGAAACATACTATTTCACTGTTATAATTATAATTTTTAATTATATTCTTGCATTGGATATCAGGTAAAATGAGAAGGCCATATGGAATCAAAATCATTCATCAATAACAACTTGCACTCATGTTGTGTCCTTCACGTCTCACAGCATTTCTCCAATAAGCGCCTTATCACATCTTCAAGACATCTCAAAGTGCTTTACAGAATATACTGTAAAGTGAATTGACTGTATATTTTGTCGGCAAAATGCGGCAGCCAATTGTGCAAAGCAGTGTCCCACAAACAATCGTGGATTCAGTGACCAATTTATTATTTACTATAATTTATTATAGATGAACAACAACAACAACTCCACTTGTATAGCACCCTCCACGCAGGGTAGCGTCTCAGAGTGCTTAACAATGGCGGAGCCTGACTCCAACTGGGGGGAGCAGGGAGGTGGCCATAACCACGGTCGAACAGGAAAGTTTTCAGGTGAGACTTGAAAGAGGGGAGAGAGGGGGCAAGGCAGAGGAATTGAGGGAGAGTGTTCCAGAGATTTGGGGCGTAGTGGCTGAAACCATGACCTCCGATGGTGGGGCGGAGGGTGTGAGGGATGAGCAGGAGGCTGGTGCCAATCAAGGGGAGGTGCCAGGGAGTGAATGGATTGGGGAGTGAGGAGGGTGGAGAGATAGGGAGGTGCCAGGGAGTGAATGGAATTGAATACGAGTGTGAGGATCTTGAAATCGATCCGTTCGATGATGGAGAGCCGGTGGAGTCTGGCCAGAACTGGTGAGATGTGTATACGGAGCTTGGTCTGGGTCAGTATGTGGGCGGCAGTGTTTTCAATGAGCTAGATCTTGTGAATGGTGGAGCTGGGGAGACCAGCGAGGAGTGTGTTGGAGTAATCCAAGTGGGAGGTGACAAATGCATGCACGAGGGTTTCAGCTGCATTTGGGGTAAGATATGTTTGCAGGCAATGTGGCGGAGGTGGAAGGCAGTCCTGGTAAGGGACCGGATGTGGGGCAGGAAGGACTGCTGGGGGTCGAACTGGACGCTTAGATTGCGCACTGGTTCGGTGAGTCTGAGGGAGAACCCAGGGAGGTTGTGGCGTTTAGATCCGCAGGAGTGAAGCCGTTGACAGGAGCCAAGAGTATGGCTTCCGTCTTGTCCATATTCAAGAAGTTTACACTCATCCAGGCCTTGATGTCTGCCAGACAAGATGATAGAACATTGGCAGACCTGGAGTCGATGCTGGAGGAGGCAAAGTAGATTTGTGTGTCATCCGCATACATGTGGAAGTTTAGCCCGTGTCTGCGGATGACTTCACCCAGCAGGAGCACATGTAGCATATAAGGAAAAGAAGCGGGCCAAGGATGGAGCCTTGTGTACCCTGCGGGCGGAGGCGGGAGGAGAAACCATTTGCTGAGATGAAATGGAGGTGATTGGTTAAATAGGACTCGAACCATATGACTGCGGTCCCACTAAGGTGGATGAGAGAGGAGAACCAATGGAGGAGGATGGTGTGGTAGACTGTCGAATGTGGCAGAGAGATCCAGAAGGATGAGGAGGCAGAGGGAGCCCTGATCACAGATAGAGAGACTGTCATTTGTGACTTTGACAAGCACTGTCTCCGTGCTGTGGGCAACAACAAGATTACATTTGTATAGTGCCTTTCACGTCGGGAGGACGTCCCAAGGCACGGGACAGAGTACAGCATTTCAGACAGGGCGAAGACCAGACTGCAGGGGCTCGAGGAGGGAGTGAAGGGAGAGTGGAGATGAAGCAGTTCCTCTGGTGATTGACTTCCTTCACTTCCCTTATTTGCAAGTGCGAAGATCTGAATGGGATTCCCTGGACTGCCTTTATATAGTTTAGACTCTAAGATGACATTTCAATGCAGTGCTGAGGGTGTTGCATTGTCTGTGTGTTGTTTTTTGGATGAGACATTAAACCAAGGTGCTGTCTGTCCATTCAGCTGGCCATTAAAAGATCTGATGGCACTGCTTGAAAAAAAAGGAAATTTCTCCTGGTCCAACAAACCCACAAAGAAAATTTGGATTATTATATTATACCTCAGAAATATCAGATTCAAAAAATTAGAAGTATCCAACTTTTGTGCAATTGCTTCATTTTCCACTTTTATTAGCTCAGACTAAGTATCTGCAGATGACAGTGAATTATCCATCTAACATGTACATTGAGCTTTCTTCATCGCTGAAGATTAGTCCAATGCAAATCTACTGCTTCACAATCAAATTAACTCAATCAAGAGATTAGGGGTGAGAGTGTGAGAGTTTGCACTGAGGTATCATCAGACTAAATAACTGCACCATTTACTGCTAATTAACCACAACTGTACAACAAATCCAAACCTGAAGAGATAATTTCCACAGTAACATTCCGTTTAGGGTCACTGGTGTTCACAATATCCAAAAACAATTTGGGAGAAGAATACTTCTTGTAATATTATAAGATTTTCTGAGGATACCAAGCTGCATGGTCAGATAAAAAACATGAGGGAGATACACACCAAAATGGCTTGAATCAATGCAGAAGACAGGGAAGAGCACCGGCAGAGAAATTTTAATGTGGACAAGTTAAACATAAAACAAGAAATAATTAGATTGTCCACAGATGGCCCAGCACAGACACCAAGGGTGAATGGCCTTCTTCTGTGCTATCAATTTCCTTGGTTGTAAAATGGGTTTATTGAATGGGTTGAGAAGGAAAATGATTTGGTGTGATTAATGATTACTCACTGAAGGTTTCTGGTAAAAATTAACAATGTAATTCCTATGTAGCATCTCGGGGATATTTGACTATAAATTGAAAGTAGTGTGTGTTGTTTATCTGTGTGCACATCCTTGTTAATTATTGCATTTGATACAGCGCCTTATCACTTCTTCGAGACATCTCAAAGCGCTTCACAGAATATACTGTAAAGTGATTTGACTGTATATTTTGTTTGCTAAATGCGGCAGCCAATTGCGCACAGCAGTGTCCCACAAACAGTCGTGGATTGAAATAACCAATTTATAATTATTATGAAACTTCTTTAAATTTAAGGAATCATAACCCCCCAGAAAAGCAATCCGCCAATCAACTCACAACTGAGTTCCTACTTACTGCCAGGTAAACAGAGGCATGTGGAGTAAGGATACTTGCCCAACATTTCACCCTGCCAGGAATAGAACCCAGGTCTCTCACTTGTGAGGCGAGTGATCTAACCACTGAGCTACAAGGGCTCCACAATGTTAGAGAAGAGAGTTCTCCCAGTGTTCTGGCCAACAAATCCCCCAAATAAACAATTGATCGCTCAGTCCATGGCTGTTTATGGAACATTGCTGTGCGCAAACTGCCTGCCCCATTTCGCACACAACATTCACAGTCAATTCACTTTACAATACTGTATATCCTGTGAAGCACTTTGAGACGTCTCAACAATGTGATAAGGTGCTATATCAAAGCAAGGATTTAAGATAAAATTTATAGGTGCATGTGATTCTCTGTATGTGCATGTATTGTATGTGAAAATTAGGATAGATGGCTTTTGAGAAAGTAAAGTAAAATAATGGTGCAAATGGCCTCCTACTGTGTGATTCTAAATCATACTAACTTTGTGCAGAATCCTGGTGAGATCACAGTTGGAATACCTTAGAATTTTGGCACCTTAACTTCAAAAGAACATTGAAGAGGGTTTAGAGAAGAGAAACCAGGATAATCCCTGGATTTGTATCTCTATGAGGACACGCTCATGGAGAAGGGTGACCATATTTTGTAAATCAAATCTGGGGACACATATTAAATAAATTGAACTCACCACAAATCCTGATGCTGGAAGTACTAGAGAAGCTTGTTGGATTAATGGCTGTATTTCGCTGATGAGTGTATCTGTTTTAGAATTTTATTGTTCTTGTTCAGTTTGTTGCTGAACTCAAGACGGGGCTAATTTGGCCCCAGGGGCACAATACCTCTTCTGGGGACTGTCCCCGGAAATCAGGAAAGTATTGTCACCCTATTACAGAGTCAAATGTCTTCTCATCACAATAAAGATTAAGGTGTGAAATTGAGAAAAAAATACTGTAATACACCACAGCCTCTATGTAACAAAATGTTTGAATCCATAAAATCCTAAACAGCATTATAGTGAGGTGCGATAGAGGTAATGAAGGTAATGACTGCACACGCACACAACTAGCTGGAGCCAGTTAGTGCCAGTATTAAAAATAACTTCTGCCTGTTGGGTCACCGTAACATCACTTCCTGTTTCCCGTTCATGTGCAAAACTGGTAGTGACATCAGCCGTGATCTGATGACCAGGAAGTTGGCTCTTTTTGGGAAGCTTCCACTTCCATCTGTGACCTAATGAAATGGAAGTTTGCCAGTTGAGACAGCCGGCACTTGAGAAGTGAGCTGGCTAGTTGTGCTCAGGAGTAATGAAGGGTGTCCACAATACAACCACGTTATAAGCAAACTTGCGCGAGAGTAAAACACATTATAGCATGAATATAGTGCATATGATTCAGATCTTTAAAATGATGAGAGGGATAGATGATGTGATGTCAGCAGCCCTTTGACTCAGACAGTAAGAACCGCACTAGGGAGCACAGATTTCAAATTAAAATACCTCAAATGGAACTTGATGTTAGCAGCGCTTAGAGTAGATTTATTTAGTCACAGATGCCATTCTCTCTATCTGTGACTAGGGATCCCTCTGCCTCCTCGTCCTCCTGGATCTCTCTCCAGCGTTCGACACAGTCGACCACGCCATCCTCATCCGTTGGCTCTCCTCCCTCATTCACCTTAGTGGGACCGCACTCGCATGGCTCAAGTCCTACTTAACCAACTGCCATCTTTTCATCTCAGCAAATGGTTTCTCCTCCCACGCCCACCCAGTCACCTG